CATGCTTTGGAAGAATCCAGATTGTGTTGTTTGTACCTGCGGTTGTCCATCCTCTACTACTGGTTCTTGAACAACCTTAAGATGGATTGTTTTTTGATTTGAAAGAATTGAAAATCGTAGTTCTCTAAAGGCTACATGGTACGATAAAATAAAATCCACTGACTGTTGGGACGTCCGGATTTTTAGGCTGGACCGCAGCAGAGAAATCTTGCTGAATTTTCTGCATTGTATTACCCATATTAGTTATGAACTTCGAGAGAAGCCCGGATCCAGCATTTTTGCCTTGCTCGGCTTCTTCACGCGGCTGCACTTGAATGCTAAACGGCTGAGCTAGCACAAAGCCAAAGCACATGAAGAGTATTGTTGCCCTCATTCTGGAAAAAAAAAGATGAGATAGCAAAGATTTCCAAACTATAAAGCTACAATAAAAGTGAACAACTGGTACAGTACGGCCGAGCAACCAAGAGGATTACCGCAAAATTGCGATGCAGCACAGTTTTTAAACCCTGATGGATTATGTACGGCCCATTTCGGTTAATCCCGGCCATAGCTCAAGCTGCGATCGCAATTTTTGCGGATCTTTGGTACAGGCGAGTTCAGCCGCTTGCTAGATTGCCAAATTGGAATAATTGGGATTGCCAGCTGCAAAGAACATATTGGATCTTGAAATGCAGACAAAATAAAGTCAAACCAGATTCTTTGGAACATTTTATGTTTTTATCACTGTGCTAAGCTATATCTATTTGGTAACCAAATTTTGCGATTGTTACGCAAATGCGTCCATCCTCTAGAAGAATAGGAATTTTGCGAAAGAGAGGAGTATTTTTCAGTTGTTTAAATTACAAACAATACTGATAATTATACTAGGTTTCTCTTTCTTTGCCACCTTATTCGATTTACAGACTGTTCGATGTACAGACTAAAAAATAGCTTGTAGAAAGTGCCCTAAATTATGCCCCACTGCAACAAAATGGTTTTTTCCGAAACAGGTTTTGAAGGATTCGAGCGACTTCATCCTTTTTCAATTTGTAACTCAGTATATTCAACATACATCTCACTCTTTTCGAGCAAAATTGAATGTTTAAATATTGAAAATGAGATCGTAGTCGAATTTCCGGATATATAGCTCAGATCACGTGTCAAATTCACAAAGAAATGGGAAATGAGTGGCTCACGTTTTCTGTTGGATATATATGCACAACTTTCTTTTTTTTTCTCTGATAACTTTCGTATCTGGTGACAATTGTCTCCATTCTTTTTTAAAAAATTTACGTGTCTTGATAAGCTTACACAATTCGATCTACGTACTAAAACCTGAATAACATCATTTCTAAATCAACTTCCCTTCACAAATGGGTGCT